GAGAGTGCCATACGCCCTTGAGCCTGGACCCAGCACATATCAGTAAGAGTTTGTTGCGTTTTGTACACACACATTCTTATCAGGCTTCGGAGACTGCAGATGCTTTCTTGAAGGGAGGGGAGGTGGTTGACGTAGGCACGGTGATGAAGACGGGGGAGATGGTGCGCGTCTCTGCGGTGATTTTGGTGGGTGTCGTTGAGGAGCGGGGGTAAAGGACATGCTGCCAACCCTGCGTATCGCCTTAGTTTGGTCTTTGAACTCCAGGAAGGAATCGGTGCCAACCCTCTGTATCTCCTTCGTGTGTTCAGCGATCTCCAGGAGGGTGGGCGAGGGTGAAAGGGTGAACGGAGAGTAGAGAGAGCTGTGGGGTGAAGGAAGAGTATCCTCAGAGGTGATGGGGGGGGTGAAGGGCGGTGGAGACTCCTCCATTTGTCTCATAGGTCTCCCATAATCAAGACATTCCTCAGGCGGGTGCAGGGATAGATTTTCAAGGTTTTCTGCGTGATGTGTTGTGTCTTTCTCTTGTTTTGATTCCTCTTGTTGCTTGTCCTTGGCAGAGGGAACAGATTGATGACGTAGGCAGTTGAATACGTTAGAGATAAACAATTTCACTCCCGACTTGTTCAGACAAACTCCATTTGCCTTAAAAAGATGTCTGCGGTCCCAGAAAAAGTTAAAATTGTCAATAAAATGGACAGAATGGTCAGAATGGTTCAGTGCAAACAATCTGCTGAATCTCTCCACTCCTCTTCTGACTGGCGGCAGAGGGCCACTGATGAACACCTCCGCATTTAGAGAGCTGACAGTTTCCAACAGACATTTAAAGTCTTTTTTCAGCACTTCTGACTGTTGTTCCAATGTGCAGTACCACATTCTTCACAGTCGGATGTTCAGCCCCAATATGCAGGATCTTCTCAGCCAAGTCAGAGACCTTATCCTTGGGAAAACAGAGTACTTTGGTGTTGTTCTTACCACACAGACTTTTTACATCTCTTACAGCAGAGTCACCCACAATCAGAGTTTCAAGCCCAGTCGTTAGCTTTCCCTCTAGCCTTTTACTTTTGGAGTAGCTATTGGTCCTTACCCTGCTGCGTGAAGAGGACAGGTTATCCAGGTCATCAGAAAGAGATCTCCGGTTCTGGGTCAGTGGATCGTATCTGTTCTGGATTGGCACACTCTGTGGTTTAGGAGGATTGTTTGTAGTTCTCCCTTTAGCAGCTGTCCACGGCTGTTTCCTAGTAGGAACAGGGGTTGAAGAGGCGCTCTTCCTGGGTGATAACAATTTAGGCCAGCCGGTCGCATCACAGATTTCAGAGCGCTGGGGGGAGAGGCTGCACCTGGGGACAATCAGGCTGCACCTGGGGAATCAGAGGGAGAGAGAGAAAGACACACACACACCCACACTACGGCACATAACACCCCCCCCCCATAAAACCAAACAAGTGTTTGGCCACAGTTACCAAAATACACATTACATAGTTACTTTTGAATGCTTGGAAGCTGCCACCTGCTGCTTCCAAGCCACACACTCCACTACTAAATGACCAGGGTCAAGACAAGAGAAACACAATCTCTTAGTGTTAGGACCTGGGAGAGAAACAGAATGAGCACGTGTGACACGTCTGTTAAGAGCCCTACAGTGAGGATAATTGCCCTGAGGATACACTTTACCTCCTTCTATATCATTACCCATTATGACATCCACACCTTCGACAGGAAATTTGGGGAGCACAGCAACTGGAAAGAAACCAGTAGCCAGTTCAGACTGGACATGGACATTGTGAAGATGTGCGGGCACAAAACCCATTTCAATACCTCTCACCACCATATTCGCATCACAGGCAGACTCAGCACTCAGGGGCAGGGCACCGGCAAGGATGAATGACTGAGCCACCACTGTCTCGCAACACCGTGACCTGCCGCTGGTCCTCCACCTTTCCTGACAAAGGCAGTAGAGATGAACGGTTTCAAACACTCATCAGGCCCTTTGTTAACAGTGGCCCGTCCACTAGGACACACTGCTGTAACCAAACCCTTCTGGGTGCTTGCCATCCGCTGTCTGCTTTCTCTTCCAAGCTGCACAGTCTGCTATCACATGACCTGGGTCACGACAAAAAAAACAAGCTCTGTCTCGCCTGGGATCCAACACTGGAACACTGGCACATGGAACGTAATTGTCAGGAGCTCTACGATAAGTGTCCCGCTGAGGAGGATCACGCTGAAAAAAACCGCTCTTGTGTATCAGTGCAAATTCGTCTGCCAGAGTGGCAGCCTGCTGAAGGGTAGTTACTTTCTGCTCGTTCAGATAGACTACCGTACGCTCCGGTACACAGTTTTTAAACTCCTCCAACATCACCAGCTCACACACTGAGGTAATGTCGTCAGCATTACAAGCTCTACACCACCTGTCAAAGAGGACTTTCTTCTCCCTCGCGAAGTCCACATACGTCTGGCCAGGAGTTTTCTCCAGTCCGCGAAAACGCTGCCTGTAGGCCTCAGGCACCAGCTCATATACCCTGAGAATAGCACCTTTAACATTCTCATACACCAAACTGTCCTCGACAGAAAGAGAAGAGCAGGCCTCCTGAGCCTTGCCGACTAGCTTGCACTGTACAAGTATGGCCCACACATCTTCTGGCCAGCGCAGAGCAGCAGCAATGCGCTCAAATGCACCAAAATAGGTTTCCACTTCTGATTCACAAAACACAAGGACCAAAGAAATATGTCTAGTCACGTCGAAGGAGGCAGCAGGACCAGAGTGTGTAACAGCAGAATCACCCACCACAGCTGCTTGGAGCTCTAGCTGACGCATCCGGACAGCAGTGTCTGCCTCCAACTTCATGATCTCCAGCTCCCTCCTGAGCTGAAAATCCCTATCACGCTCCTCCTTCTCCCACTGGAGACGGACCACACGTACTTTCATTCTGGCATCTAACCTAGAGCCTGTAAAAGAGGACTGGGCAGAAAGCGGGTCAAAGTGAGGCATGGTGGGCTTCTCCTGTGCACTAGCACTCCGAACACCAGGAGTAACACCAATGTGGCCTCCACCATGAGATACTGCTGCCACAGGAGATCATCGTGCCAGGAGATTCCACTAAAGTAGGCAGACTCAAAACCCCCTGTTCAACTAGTCCAGTTAGCAAAGTAGCCTTGAGTTCACTTTTAACAAGAGCAGAGGCGACAGAAACGTGATAGTGGTCAGCAACTAACCGCAAATCAACCTTCCTGCACCCGTCTAGCTGACCCACAGTAGGACTGGCCACAAACTGCTCCAAAACAAAAACCATCCTTAGCAACGGCTACTTACAATTTTATTTTTTTTACAAACTTCCCCAGATCCTGCCTACCAAACTTACCTAACTATTTTGTGGATCGTGCCGGGCTCGAGGCGACTTTAAAGGCAAACATCAGCGGCCGAAACCCTGAAACGCCTGCCCCCAACAGGGAACAAATCCCCACCCAGGATTACCCCGAAAATAAAAAAGGCAAAATAATAAATGAGTGCCTGAAGGAAGGACTCAGTCAGCCCAGCTAGACACTCCCCGATCTAAACTGAGGACGTTTTTAAACCACAATGTTTTTTTGTTCGTTTTTTTTTTTCTTCTCAAATTTAAACAGCCAATGCTACCAAACACAATATCAACGCTAAACCGCAAACAGATACTCACTCTTTGTCTCAAATGATCCCGGGCGAGACCCCATTTGTTACGTTCCCTCCTAACTAGGGGTACAAAGGGAAGTAACAAAACACCAAAATAACCGGGCGAGAGAAAAAGGAGAGGAAACTGTCTACTGAAGCCACAAAGTGATGTTTTAATGGACAAAAGAAAAAGGGCTCACCAGCCAACTTGCAAAGCAAACTAAAATAAACAATACACGAAAAGGTAAACTGGAGCACATCTAACAATTCACAAGAACACAGGCCTCACACAGAGACAGAGACATGATGCAGCCAAAGGAGAAGGAGAGAGCGACTGCAGCCTTCCTCGGGTCCTTTATGGAGGCCCTGATTGAGGATTGGGAGCACCTGGGGAGAGGCTGCACCTGGGTACAATCAGGCTGCACCTGGGGAATCAGAGGGAGAGAGTGGAAGACACACACACACCCACACTACGGCACGTAACAACCCGGTACACAACCCTCCTGTTCCTTGGAATCCTTGTAGCTGCTAACTAGCTTTGAGTTAGCATGCCTTTGTCCATTATTTTGCAACACTGGTAAAGTGGTGTCATTCCAACCTAGTCCATTCACTTCCACGTTAACTTCCAACCGTTGCATTTTCATTTCCAACACGGCCATCTACTGTAGAAGTTTGTGGAAGTCATCTGTAGAGAACGGAGGCATTTTGCTGCTAACTAGCTTAAGCTAAATAGCATGCAGTACCAGGCTTTAGCTGTTGCTAGGCCACGCTACTGTAAGACTGAGGTCGTCGTAAAAATATTGAAATATGGCTGAAACCCTCCGTCTATTTACGAAGAATAACTGTCCCAGTGATAGGTTAATGTCCAGGAGCCGCTGCTCGAAGTTTTCAGAAAAGAAAAATAGAAAAACAGCATAAAAAAGTAAGGCAAGAGCAAGCAGAAAAGCGTCTGCACTGTAAGAAGGCTGCACACAAAAGGCAACATAACATAATGGTTTTTAGTCTGCCTTGATAAAATACCCAGATTCATCTCTATGAGGAACTACTGCTCCCACAGATCTTGTCTGATGCACTGGTAGCATGACCTGGATGTTTATCCTGCCGGTACTGAAACATGAATTACGTTTGAATAAATACTACTTTTCAGCATCAGGATTAATAATAGTGATTTAATTATTTTTCACAACTCCAGCCAATTATTTCTCACTACTTACAGAAGAAGATGTTGCTTATCAAGTATCAAAGAAGAAGAAGTATTCCATGAAGAAGTGGATGATGCATTTACTGTGAAATTACGTCTGATAACTGCACTCATCATATTTATGTTATCTGGCTTCTCTCTGCTCTGTTGGGTTTCCAGGCTCTCAGTAAAGCTCTGCTGGAGCTGCGGGCGGAGATGACGTCCGCCGCCGAGAGTCAAGTCATCGCCGGCGCTGCTCAGAGAGAGGAGAGCCTCAATGTTCAGATGCTGGTGGACAGGCACACCAAAGACCTTAAGGTACTCAATAAAGTCAGACTGAAGCATCCTTTGTGCTCCAGTCAGTCCTCTCAGAGCTGAATCCCACATCAAATGCACGCTAAAGGCTCTTTGAGCATGTTTTCTCTCAGTGATCGTGCTGTTATGTTAAAAGTTTGTTGTTTTTCATGTATTATGTCTTGATATTTGTCTGTTGATGTTACACATGGAGCTGCTGTGATGCAAGTCAAATGTCAGACTTGATCTGACCATTAAAGTATTATTGTATCGTAAGGTGGGAGCCCTTCATTATAATGACAGACATGCATGTCGACTCGTATTTCATTTCACACATTTGGGAATAGCTGTTGATCTTATAAACTGACATAAAGAAAGCTTGGGACGCGAGTTATGATTATATTTCCGATAAAGAAACAGAAAATAATCGACGATGTTCCCAGTAAAGACATCTAGTCGACTCCAATGTGGCTTTATTCCTTTGATTAAACACCACTACACCTCATTTGAGTCGGATGTTAAAAGTCAGTAGATAAAAAAAACGTACTTTTTTTATATCTAGTTTTTAGGTATTCATCTGTGTAGTATAATCTGACAGACAGTTGTATATTCTACATTATGCTGACATATTGTTATATTTGCATTTGCTGGTATTAATAAAATGCCTTTAGCCTTTCCAATACAACCATGTGTTAGTCGGTTTTCAACAATCTGCTACTTCCTTGTGGTGCCAGCATGTGTGTGTACTAGTAAAGGTCTGAGTCTGACTCAGTAATGGGGACAATCATTTCAAAATTGGTCCAGTAGTGAGTCAAAAAGGGCTGCAATATAGTTGGAAAAATGATTCTGTAGTTGTTCAAAACCTTTATAACACACTACAGGAAAGGGGAAACACATTATACTGTGATTCATTGTGGCTCAAAAGATAGATTGTCGCTTTCTATCGGAAGGTCACAGGTTCGATCCCCATCTCAATGTGTCCTCGGCAAGATGCCTCTGAATTAACCTCTGAAGCTTTTGTGTAAATGGCTGAATGCTCACTTGTATATGTAAAAGCGGTATTGTGCGATCATTTTGTTGATGAGGGGGGGGGTGATAATGTTTGTAATATGTTGATAATGTTTGCACAATATGAAAATCGATAGCATCAAGAAATTGTATGTCGTTTTGGTGTCCATGGAGGGCATGAATGGTTAACCCTTGATGTACAACAGGTGCAGTTATGTAAGCATCTCCATGTATGTCTTTTGACGCAGGTGCGGGTGCAAGAACTTAATGAAGAACTTCAATCGGCAAAGGATTCTGCAAGAGCAGCGCGAGGCCGGGAGAACAGCCTGAGAGAGGAAGTGGACGGGCTGACCCAGGATCTGCAGAGGAGTGTGAAGGCTCAGAGACGCCTGCAGGCGGAGAGGGAGGAGCAGGAGCAGGAGGTCCAGGAGCTGAAGCAGAAAGCCAAGAGGTTCAGCAGCGCCCTCCAGGTTAGACCCTCTCAGGGAGTTTCTGATTTAATAGGAAGCACGCAGCTCAGTTGGACTCTAATCTGAAGTGTGTTGTTGCTGCTTTCAAGTGAAGCGCTCAACAGCAGCCACATGACAGCCGATATCAGCACAACATCATGCGCACAAGACATTCAGACAATTCAATTGAAATAAATTGAGGAATGCATCAAGAATGGAATTTTACATTCTTCTGAGATCCAAGATAAACTCCTCTGGTGGAAACCAAATCAAATTATTCTGCTCATCTGGTGGATCAGTGCCCTCTAGCCTTTTTTTAAACTACAGTCCAGATTTGTCTCAGGACTTTGGCTGCTCCTCTGTTCATCATATCTTTTTAACTTTGTATCTGCTTTTTATATTTAAGCAATAGCTCACGACAGGCCATTATATCACAGTTGGTGGTTCGGCCCGACGAATGCAGTTTGCTTTTCAGCCCAACTGTATTCAGTTAAATCGACCGGACTTCTTTCTACAGATGTGAGCGTCCTTAACAACGGTCAATAAGTCCTTGCTGCACATTATCCCTTACATGTTTCCATCTTAAAAGTGGGGTAGGTCATTTTGGAGAAACCAGCTCGAGTGCGCTAGAATTTGAAAATACACAGCCGGAAAAAATCTGCCACTTCCTTCCAGAGCCCCTCCTCCAACACACACGAACGCGCACATGACCAATGAGGGCACGAGATAAGTTTGTGCACAGATGGAAGGCTGACAGGCAGGTAGGCCATCCAGTTACTTTAGCCGGGCCGGCTCAGAGGATTGGTCGTGCTTTTTACAGCGCCACGGCTTCCGCAGATGACATTTTGTTATGGATTTATTGTCAAAGCACTTCAGATATTCATTGCTATCGGGATGTTAAGAGCATTCCATGGAATATAACAACAAGTGTATCTCGAGCCGGTTTCTCAAACTTACCTACCCCACCTTTTAAGCTTTGTTAGTTAGTTAGTTTCGTAACGGACGTAATGTAACAGTTGTAGCTTTTCTCAGACACGGATGGATACTGACTTGTTGTGAAAAGTAACTACAATTCTACCCGTGATATACGCTCATTATATCACGGCTAAGAACCAATCAGATTGCTTGATTTGACTTGTCCGTTTTATATATATATATATATATATGTATTCTTTGCTGCATCTCTGCATATATTAAATTGTATATATGTTTTCTTATAATATATTTACACTTTTGATGTATTATAATTAAAACAATAATCCTTTAGAATTTATATTCAGGATAATATAAATAATATATTTATATTATACAAATATTTATGATAACGTCTTTCCCATTGTAAACAGTCAAACTAATTATATTTTTTATAAGTATCCATGCAAAAAACATTGTATATTGTGTATATAATGTATATAAATGTGCGTGTGTGACTGTAGCTGCTGGAGATGAGTGTTATTAGGTTATCGAGGAGCTGGATTTAATGGAAGAATGATAAGAGCATCCGCCAGCTTTACTTATCAATCAATCAATGTTTATTTATATAGCCCAATATCACAAATGTTACATTTGTCTCAGTGGACTTCACAGTTTGTACAAAATATCAGTATGACAATACGACACCCTCTGTCCTTAGACCCTCACGTCGTACAAGGAAAAACTTAGAGACTGCCGGACTCCAATGTCTCTATTGGCGCGTTTCCACTGCAGGCCTCGTTCGGCCTCGCTCGGTTTGGTTAGGCCTTATTAGGCCCGGCTCACTTTAATGCTGCGCTTCCATTACAGTTTAGGAACTGGGGCAGTTACTATAGTAACGCAGTGTAGGCGGAGCCGTGACGCCATCTTCAATGAGAGCCCCAGAAAAACAACACAGCCGTTAGCTCTTAGCACTCAGAGCTCACAGCTCCTCATATCTGTTCAGAAACTAGACCAAAGTTAAACAAGTACAAACCACAGACTGTCTGTGTCATGGCGAATACAGTCGCTGGTTTATTTATGTCTGTATAGGCCGTTGTTGTGAGTGTGGACGGTCGGAGCATATATAACGTTAGCTTAGCCAAGCTACATTTAGAAAACACGCATTTTAAAAGGGTTTTTCGCCTGCCGTCTGTCTGCAGACTTGTCAAATCATTAATTCATGGTTTTCACTAACCGGTATCAGTATGTTGTTACTTCGGCATCATTTTGAAACGTGTATTACAATTAATTCACGGTCAAATATGTTCATGTTGTTGTAGTTGTAGCCCCCTTGCCAGCGATTCTCTCTCTAGTTTAGCATACTCAGCCCGACTCAGCCTGGTTGTTCCTGGCCCTAGAACCACGATTTAGTCGGGCCAGAAAAAAGGTGAAAAAGTAGCCTCGGGCCAAAACTAGGCCAAGTGGAAACGCAACCAAAAACGGGCCCCGCAAAAATGGTTTGTCTCTCGCGTCTTCAGCAGGAAGCCAAGGGTTGTGACCCTGAAGGGAATGAATACCTGTTGTCTCCGCTGTACACTGTTTGACGAAAAGTGAGGTGCTATGAAATCTTCTCGTCTGTATTTGCTGATTAGAGCCAACCAGAACCAGATGGGAAGGGGCCGAGTGCCGAGAGTCTGCACAAGAAGATCAGGAGGCTAGAGTCTGAGCTGGACCAAAGAGCAGAAGGGAAAAATCTCAAGGATGATCATGAAAAGGTTTGCACATCAGTTCTGTTAATCACATTATCATCTGTTTGCCCGTTCTCCTGATGGACGACTTGTTTCTCTGACAGACCAAAGGAGAAGTGGTGCGTTGGGAGGAGGGGAAGAGATGGCAGGCCAAGATGGAGAAGATGAAGAACTCATTGAGGGATAAAGAGAGAGAGAACGAAGCTCTTTTGAAACAACTCGGCACTCTCAGAGACCTCTATTCCAGGTCAGTGTGTACATCGTCCTGCTCACTTCACACAGCTGCCTTTGATCTTATCTTTGGAAACACCACATCATCACAGCTGCAACGTGCGACCTGGAGCGGGTTGATATGAAAGTGATGCTAATTGGGTCTTTAAGTACTGATTACTTTCATTATTCAGTAGGGATGTAACGATACCAAAAACTCACGGTACGATAATATCGCGATAACAAGTCCATGGTACGGTATTTATCGCGATATTGTATAATAAAGAAAAAAAAGTTTTTAAAAAATGTAATTCTTTTTTTTTTTTACTTGGAAACATTTTCTTTATTAAATAATAAATCTGATTTGTACACAATTTTAGTAGGATAGCAGTATTTTAAAGTGTCAAAAACAAAGTGACAGTAACAGACTGGAACAAGAAAACCAGTGTTTTTGTACCTACTAGTACTACCAAACAAAGTAGGCATTTTGGCAGCAGTGGGTCAAACTGCATTGTCTCTCCACCACTTCAAAAACAATACCGTATTTGCCAAGAAGGTGAGGCTTATTGAGAGGGCGAGATATACATATACTGTTGGTACTTGTCAATGTCTCTAGGTATGTAAATGTAGCCCCTGTAAATATGTGTTCTGTTGTTTTATGTTCATGTTGTAACCTACTTGCTGCCATGTTGGACAGGTTTCCCTTGAAAAAGAGATCGATTATCTCAATGGGACCATCTGGTTGAATAAAGGTTTAAAAAAAAAAAAAGTGTTAAAAAAAATTATTTTTATTTTTATTTTTTTAATCACGGTAGATTTTGTCAGTCTCACGACGGTATTGGGACGTTTATTTATCGCGATATTCGGTATATCGTTACATCCCTATTATTAAGTAATTCAGATAATTCAGATAATTCTCTTAAATATGAGTTTTGTCTATAAAATGATAATATAAAAAAAAGACCATTATAATTTTCCAGAGCCAGCAGTGTTTATATTCCTTCTTGTATCCGACCAACAATAAATACAATATTTTTATTTTATAGGTTTTTAATCAAAGTCAGTCAAACTTAAAAAGTCACATTTTCTAATACACATTTTTTCTTTTTCAAAATAAACTGTGCTTACCTTTTTATATTTCTTCTTATTTTGTACCTTTCAAATATTTGTTTAAAAAGCTTTTATCGCAACTTAATTCCTCTTCCTTTGTACAACATTATAATAATAATAATAATAATGCATTTTATTTATATAGCGCTTTTCACTACTCAAAGACGCTTTACAGTATGAGGGAGTCATACTGTAAAGCGTCTTTGAGTAGTGAAAAGCGCTATATAAATAGACAACCAAGGACAGGCAAACAAGTAAGTAGTGTTGCACGGTGTACCGATACTTGAAAGGTACCCGCGATTACTCTGCCGTTAAAAATGTTACGATTCCTCCGTTTCATTAGTATCGGTACTTTAAGAATGACAGGGGAAAGTACTCCGGTGAGAAAGCGCTGTTTTACTAAGAGCCGTGTGTTCAGCGCTCTGCTTCCACTCCCTGCACTGCAGCCGTGCCCACAGTGCCTCCCCTCTCTCGTGCACGCGCTAGCTGCCAGAGCATGTGAGAAAGCGAGAAGCATGGCTGCAAGTGGGAGTGCAACTGCCGCTGCGCCTCGGCTTGTTGACAAAAAAGACGCCAGAAGCAAAATTTGGAAGTATATTAGCTATATCTCTGACAGTGAGGGCAAGCCTACGGACACCACGAGGCCTGTCTGTGAGAAATGTATTAATTTTATTTATTACGAATTCTTGCCATTTTTTTATTTATTGTTCTCATTGTTTCAAAGTTTGTGTTATGGTTATGGTTCTGGTGTGAAATAAAGCACAATAATTACATTTAAGACTGTTTCCCTTTTTTTAAGAAAAGTATAGAAAAATAATCGGAATCGCAATTCTTGACTTGGTATCGGTATCGAAACCAAAATGTTGGTATCGTGACAACACTACAAGTAAGTATAGTAAAATAAAAAATAAATAAAAAGGCAGTCAAGAGGAAGTTGATTGAGAGGGGGGGGGCTTATGGGTAGACAGAGTTGAAAAGATGTGTTTTGAGGCGGGACTGAAAGACTGTGAGGGACTCAGAGTCACGAAGATCTTGGGGGAGGGAATTCCAGAGCCTAGGAGCTGCCACTGAGAAGGCTATGTCCCCAAAGCTGCAGAGTGTGGATGTGGGAATGGATAGGAGTCCGGCTGCAGTGGATCTGAGGGACCGTGGGGGTTGATAAGGAGTGAGAAGGTTTGTGAGATAAGGGGGGACCAGATGGTGGAGTGCTTTGTAGGTGAGGACCAGAACTTTGTAGTTGATGCGATGGGAGACAGGAAGCCAGTGGAGGTCTTTGAGGACTGGGGTGATGTGATGCCATGATTTGGTATGCGTGAGGAGACGTGCAGCTGCATTTTGAACCCGTTGGAGTCTGTTGAGGGATGTAGTGCTGATGCCGTAAAGAAGTGAGTTGCAGTAGTCAAGGCGGGAGGAAATGAAGGCATGGATTAGTCGTTCGGCTGCGGGGCGGGTGAGAGAGGGTAGGATTTTTGCAATATTGCGGAGGTGGAAAAAATGAGGTTTTGACTGTTTAGCGGATGTGAGGTTCGAGGGAGAGGGGTGGGGTCAAAGATTACGCCAAGGTTGCGTGCCTGATTGGAGGGGGAAACAATGGTGCCGTCGATGGTGAGTGTTATGTTCGTGACCTTGCTGAGGGTGGATTGGAGCCGATTAGGAAGGAGTTCTGTTTTGTTGCTGTTCAGTTTGAGGAGGTTATGTTGCATCCAAGTTTTAATAGCTGTCAGACAGGAATCGATGTGGGTAAGGGGTGGGTTATGGAGGGATTTGGTGCTGAGGTAGATCTGAGTGTCATCAGCATAGCAGTGCAAGTCCAGGTTGAAGTGGCGGAGAATCTGACCGAGGGGAGGATGTAAATGATGATGAAGAGGGAGGGGGCCAAGTACTGATCCTTGAGGAACGCCTTGGGTGACTGAAGCTGTGGCAGAGGAGTGGTTGGGGAGGGAGATGAAGTGGGGATCATTCAGTGAGGTAGGACTGGAGCCATCTGAGTGCAATACCTTCAATACCAATGTCCCTGAGTCGGGTGAGCAGGATGTTGTGGCTCACGGTATCAAAGGCTGCACTCAGGTCGAGGAGGATGAGAATATTGAGGGAACCAGTGTAAGCGCCAAATTAATACACCAAAGTAAATTTCCTTTTATGTTCAATCTAATTGGCATTAAACCATAAATCCTATTCTTAAAAATTGCAATTCATATAAAAGCTGGAACTATAAAATATTTACCAAAATGGTTTTCACATTAATGTTTGTTTAAAAGTCTAATCAATCAATGAATCTCTAATAGTTATGTAGGAGCCAATATGCTGTGGTAGCCTGTGTTATAGTTATATTATCTTCATTATTTGTTAACACCACACACACTTGTAATGGGTTGTTTCCGGTGATTGTCACATGGTGTGGTTGATGGTATTTAGGGCACCTGGTGTATGTGGAGGTTTAGTGGCATGACATTGAGGGTGAGCTTAGATCTGATACCTTTTGTTTGACCGTATGATTCTGTTTGTGTTTTGATTTACAATATTAAATATCCTTAAAACGTCAAGTTCGGTACAGACTTTATTATTTATACGCGTCACAACAATGAGCGAAGTTTAGCCTCAGAGCGGCCGTATTCAATGGGAATATAGCCGCCACAATTTATAATAATAACAATGATATATCAAGGTGTGCATTTTTACATTTGTGCCCTTGTATTTCCCTTCTGGTGTCCCTGTGTTTCTCAATGTCCCCTCTGTGGGACTAATAAGGGTTTCTGATTACATAGTGCAAATTAGTGCAAACATATTTACGCTGCTATGGAAATATGTTTGCACTAATTTGCACTATGTACATCAGGGCTATTCAATTAGTTTGGAATGGGGGCCGGTTGATGAAAATGATCCAAAGCAAGGGGCCGGGAAAAAGATGGCTTGAAATATGAGCAATCATATTAAGAGCTTCAGATACAGTAAATACTACAACTGCATAGTGGAGTGCATACATTGTCTTTAAAGGGCCCATGTCATGCTTTTCTGGTTATTACCCGCCCCCTTGTGTGTTATGTAGCTTTTTCTGCATGTAAACGGTCTGCAGAGTCACAAACCCTCAAAGTACACCCCTGTAGCGAGTAAAACTCTAACACAGAAAAGACCTGTCTATGCTGCCCCAGAACGCCTCGTTGGGGATTTCTCTCTTTCCATTTTTTTACTTCCTGGGTATAGTGACGTATTTCGGGTATAGTGACGTAACGTCCGCGGAGCCGTTACGTTTGGACCAATCCGCAAACTTCCTCACACACACACACGTTGCGAGACTCGCTGCTGCGAGGAGCGGGACACTGTGAGCTGGCTCACTGGTGTGGGGGCTGCGAGACAACCGTGGTGGAACTCAGCCTGAGCACACACACAAACTCCCAGCCAGGCTGCGGGTGTGTGTTCGGGCTGGGGTTTCGCTGTGTCTCGCTGTCTCGGCAGATGGCCACTGGGCTCACAGGGCGGGGGGGGGGGCAGGAGAGTCCAACAAGCCGTTTAGGACAGAGAGTGAATACACATCTATACAGAGATGCTGTATGAGAAACTAATGTGAGTTTGGAAAATTGCACAATATAAATCTATTCTCTATTCTACCTCAACAATGGAATTATGATCAGTAGAAATTGCCATGACATGGGACCTTTAATTAAATCAAACAACATAGCCCCAAGGCCTTTATAGATCTAAATGGCTCAGAACTCAGTAGGCCGACATATGAAGCTAATTTAACCATCAACATCATTTCATTTGATTTAATTTAGGTGAAATGATCTAATCATTCACACAGAGATGTAATAAATTACAGGAGTTGTCACTACAATAGCTAGTAGGTGGGTTCGAAACCCGAGCCCGCAGAAGTTTTCAGGCATTGTCTTCCCCTCTATCTCTCAATGTCACACCTCTCTGGAATAAAGGCACTCTGGCCCACAAAAAAACATAAACAATAACATTATACTAGGAGTGTAACGGTTCACAGAAGTCACGGTTCGGTTCATACCTCGGTTTGGGGGTCACGGTTCGGTTCATACCTCGGTTTGGGGGTCACGGTTCGGTTCATACCTCGGTTTGGGGGTCACGGTTCGGTTCATACCTCGGTTTGGGGGTCACGGTTCGGTACGGGTTCGGTACAACAAGGGAAAGTAAAAAAAAGTCCCAAATGCATAATTTTTTTGCTGTTATTTATTTAACAGTAGTGCAAGTTTTGGTATGAAAATAAGGAACTCTAACATTTGGAATCATTAACTGTATTACACAGTTAAAAACAAACCACAAACAGTAACACTCAGATGGCCATATTATTTATAATGGCTGATGTCAAACAAAAAGATTAAATAAGCTGAACAACTGAAAAGAAGTCTTGAAAATATTAAAATAAATAATAAGAGTGTTTCAATCACAATCAATAAAAGGCAATACAGAACTGTATAACATCTCCTGATGTCAAAATCTAAAATAAATACAATGATAAATATAAAACAAAATCAAATCTGTACCTTTAGGAGCAATGTCTAACATGTGTAATTAACTGTGAGTGTGTGAGTACATTATGCCTAAATAAAAGGTACTCAAGCTTTACTCTATTTTCAAGTTGTTCTTCAAAAAGATGAGTTTGTCTACGTTGTCAGTAGTGAGGGCAGATCTGTTGGCGGTAACTATGTCACCTGCCGTCGAGAAAACCCTCTCGCTGGGGACTGAGACTGACTCGGATGTGATTGAGCATGTTTGACGTGTTACCACTAGCATACCGCACCGCTGTCGAACAACGCCGACACACCGTCCTCCTCCGATCCACAACTCGCACCCCATCATTGTTGTAGTCCACAGGGAACCCCGAAATGTTTCCCACACACCTGATTTAAAAGAAGCAGGTGGGTCTTCTAGCTCCTGTGTGTTTGTGTGAATTCGCCATAGATACTAACTTTTCTTCTTCATATATTGTGTTCGTTTTGTTGTGTTTTGTTCTTGTTCTTCATTTGTTTATTTACGGGCGGCTGGCTTTTAGGCGCAATACCGCCCCCCTGGATTATATATAGTGTAATACTGCCATGAGTGACAGAATTTTTTTCCCACTCGTAAAAAAAAAGGCGTATTCGCCGTGTGACTGCATGTGGCCGAACCGTGACGTCCGAACCGTGACGGTAACGGGACGAATAAGGATACCGTTACACACCCTACATTATACTCAAAGGGCCAGTAAATATCACCCCGGGGCCGGATCATCTTTCTTTATATATTCCCTGCTTACTTGAAGTAAACCGGTTATTTTGTGTTTTTTTGTAATTATTGAGTGTATTTGAATGTGTGTTTTTATACCTCGGGGAACTTGTGGGAAACAGTATTTCAATCTTTCTGTGTGTACAAACATATTTTGAGATTGACAAAAAAGTTGACTTTGACTGATTGTGATTCTCTGTGTTTGCAGACTGGAGCAGGAGAAGAGCGCTCTGGCTGAGGAAGATGAAGGGTCGAGGCGTGACGGCAGATCTTGTGGTGGGAGTGCGGAACGCTGAGATGGAGACGGAGCTGGAAGAACTCAAGAATAGGAACTCAGAGCTGGAGAGACAGATCCTCACCATCAAGTAAATAACAGTCATCAGAGTATACTTCAAGTCGATGTTAGTTCCAGTTCCTTTAATACAAGTATATGTTGTTGTGTATTTATAGTATTCAGATCCTCACCATCAAGTTATGGAGGACGGAACATGACTTAAGTATAAATAAATAAATGTATGACGAAATACAGGAATAAATAAATAAATACGTAAATAAATAAATAAATACAGGAATAAATAAATACAGGAATAAATATATGACGAAATAAATACAGAAATAAATAAATGTTGAAATGAATACACAAATAAATAAATAAAAGAATAAATGCATAAATAAATGCATAAATAAATATGGAAATAAATACATCAATGTATAAATAAATAAATAAAAGTCGAAAATAAAACAGAACACACGTTATTATATATCTTTCATTTATTTCTACATTTATGCGACATACATTTATTTATTTATTTATTTATGTATTTATGTGTCCGTATGCTAATGAGGTGGGCGGTCCTAACCTCAGTCTGAAGCAGGATTGGTTACAGGAGTGTGTGATCATTTCTGGCAGAGGGCTCTACTACTAACGCCTGGATAACCGCGCTGATTCGAATGCAGGAGCTTTACTGTTTAGCCCTTATCTTCATACATCCATGGTTTATCCACAGTTGTAAGGTTTATTTATGGATATTGATTTAAGAGCCATTGGAGATCATTTACGATCATTAGCGGACCATTTAGAGAACGGAGAACCAAAAGACTATGTCCAGTTTCGTGTGGAACGATGTATAGAGGACTTGGCTCAGCTCGACATGATGTGACTTGCCACGAATCTATTGCTTCTGCCTGGCTCCAACAATTGGCGAATCCTGCTTCAGACTGAGGTTAGGACCGCCCACCTCATTAGCATACGGACACATAAATACATAAATAAATAAATGTATGTCGCGTAAATGTAGAAATAAATGAAAGATATATAATAACGTGTGTTCTGTTTTATTTTCGACTTTTATTTATACATTGATGTATTTATTTCCATATTTATTTATGCATTTATTTATGCATTTATTCTTTTATTTATTTATTTGTGTATTCATTTCAACATTTATTTATTTCTGTATTTATTTCGTCATTTTATTTATTTATTCCTGTATTTATTTATTTATTTACGTATTTATTTATTTATTCCTGTATTTCTTCATACATTTATTTATTTATACTTAAGTCATGTTCCGTCCTCCATATCAAGTAACTAACGGCCCGTCCACACGGCAGCGTGCGTTGAAGCTTCAACGCTTCTGGCCATTCACTTTGAATGGGGTGACGTCACGCTTTGCCGAACTGCATTGTGGGAGCGTCGCGTTGCTCGCTTCAAAAGTTGAGCAATGTTCAACTTTTGAAGCTTCGGCGGAAGCATCAGCCAATCAAATCATATGCCAGAACAAACTCTAGCCAATCAAACCGTGTGCTTGTGTGTCCGGGCGGGACATTCATGTGATGGTTGAGTTTCAGACACGCCCACGCTTCAACGCACGCCGCCGTGTGGACGCAGCGTGACAGTCTTAAAAATAAGTCAAAACAATCATAATATATCTTTTTAATGTTAGCTCCTTTAGTATACTGTACATAGTTGTGTATTTAAAAGTCACACATTCTTTATTTGTCCAGAACTATTAAATTTATTTGACCTATATTTACATTTGTTACAGCAAAGACAACAAAGCAGATACAAAGACAGAAAAAGGGGCCGACAAGCAAACAATAAAATAAAGTTCCAATAACTTAACATCTTAGGTACAAAAAGAAGTTTTGAGGTAGCAAACAATAATAACATCATGAATTGTAAAAAATATAAATGTATTTCTCATATTTCCCAATTCCTTAAGCTTTATTTGCACTCACCTTCATAATTTTTAAGTGTTAATTGTAAAAACAATTGTTATTTGACGCTTTAAAGCCGAGTTTGTCTTGAATCCAGATGCCTCGTTATCCGCTCAATACAGGATCCTTTGAGAGTTATTATACTGATTATGATTTATTATGTTAGAGACTGTCATTTCCGTCTCTTGGAAAACAAACCAGAGTAAGACTAATTTCAAAGTATAACTGTAGCTGATAACAACACGAGATATCACTCCATCACCGTAACATATTATCTTCTGTCTAAATGTCATGGAGTTCTGCTTTGTAATGATTAGCAATTTATTATCATATCTTATCACTATTATTAATTACACATCGTCTTTTTATGGACGGAGAAATTGAAGTGAACATAGATTAATCGAGTATTTCAGTAGGAATGTTACATCATCAATCTAAGCCAATATCAAATAAAGCTTTCTGGCGAGTAAGCGTTCAAATGTTATCACTATTTAGCAGTGGTGTAAAGTAACTAAGTAGATTAACTCAAGTACTGTACTTAAGTTTGAGGTACTTGTACTTTTCTTGAGTATTTAAATGTTATGCTACTTTGTACTTCTACTCGAGGTAAATTGTGTACTTTGACTCCACTACATGTATTTAATGCCTTTTAGTTACTTTACAGATGTGGATGAATGGTGTGAAATATAATCAAGTGTTGAATCAGACTTTAGTTCCACCTGGAGTAAATCCACAAGCTACCCTGCAGTATACAAAGCCATTCAAACTAGCTAGCTGCTCCTTTACCAGCTTTGAGAACACTTTCATGATCAATCATTATAAAACATATCATATATTATTCTGAAATGGACCAATCTGCACAACGACTACTTTTACTGTCGCTACTTTCACTATATTTTGATGAGAATACTTTTCTACTTTCACTTGAGGAACATTTTGAACGCAGGACTTTTACTGTAACAGAGTATTCCTACACTCTGGTACTTCTACTTTTACTCAAGTACAAGATCTGAGTCCTTCTACTTTAACTCAAGTACAAGATCTGAGTACTTCTACTTTAACTCAAGTACAAGATCTGAGTACTTCTACTTTTACTCAAGTACAAGACATGAGTACTTCTACTTTAACTCAAGTACAATATCTGAGTACTTCTACTTTTCTCAAGTACAAGACTGAGTACTTCTACTTTACTCAAGTACAAGATCTGAGTACTTCTACTTTTACTCAAGCAAGACCTGAGTACTTCTACTTTTACTCAAGTACAATATCTGAGTACTTCTACTTTACTCAAGTACAAGATCTGAGTACTTCTACTTTTACTCAAGCACAAGACCTGAGTACTTACTACTTTACTCAAGTAACAAGATCTGAGTACTTCTACTTTTACTCAAGTAACAAGATCTGAGTACTTCTACTTTTACTCAAGTACAAGATCTGAGTCCTTACTACTTTTACTCAAGTACAAGATCTGAGTACTCCTACTTTTACTCAAGTACAAGATCTGAGTACTTCTACTTTTACTCAAGTACAAGATCTGAGTACTTCTACTGTTACTCAAGTACAAGATCTGAGTACTTCTACTTTACTCAAGTAACAAGATCTGAGTACTTCTACTTTTACTCAAGATACAAGATCTGAGTACTTCTACTTTTACTCAAGTAACAAGATCTGAGTACTTCTACTTTTACTCAAGTACAAGATCTGAGTACTTCTACTTTTACTCAAGTACAAGATCTGAGTACTTCTACTTTACTACTCATACAAGATCTGAGTACTTCTACTTTTACTCAAGTACAAGATCTGAGTACTTCTACTTTTACTCAAGTACAAGATCTGAGTACTTCTACTTTTACTCAAGTACAAGATCTGAGTACTTCTACTTTTACTCAAGCACAAGATCTGAGTACTTCTACTTTTACTCAAGTACAAGATCTGAGTCCTTCTACTTTTACTCAAGTACAAGATCTGAGTACTTCTACTTTTACTCAAGTACAAGATCTGAGTACTTCTACTTTTACTCAAGCACAAGATCTGAGTACTTCTACTTTTACTCAATACAAGATCTGAGTACTTCTACTTTTACTCAAGTACAAGATCTGAGTCTTCTACTTTTACTCAAGTACAAGATCTGAGTACTTCTACTTTTACTCAAGCACAAGACTGAGTACTTTCTACTTTTACTCAAGTACAGATCTGAGTACTTCTACTTTTACTCAAGTACAAGATCTGAGTACTTCTACTTTTACTCAAGTACAAGATCTGAGTACTTCTACTTTTACTCAAGTAAAGATCTGAGTACTTCTACTTTTACTCAAGTACAAGATCTGAGTACTTCTACTTTTACTCAAGTACAAGATCTGAGTACTTCTACTTTTACTCAAGTACAAGATCTGAGTACTTCTACTTTTACTCAAGTACACGATCTGAGTACTTCTACTTTTACTCAAGTACAAGATCTGAGTACTTCTACTTTTACTCAAGCACAAGACCTGAGTACTTCTACTTTTACTCAAGTACAAGATCTGAGTACTTCTACTTTTACTCAAGTACACGATCTGAGTACTTCTACTTTTACTCAAGTACATGATCTGAGAGCTTCTACTTTTACTCAAGTACAAGATCTGAGTACTTCTACTTTTACTCAAGCACAAGACCTGAGTACTTCTACTTTTACTCAAGTACAATATCTGAGTACTTCTACTTTTACTCAAGTACAAGACTGAGTACTTCTACTTTAACTCAAGTACAAGATCTGAGTACTTCTACTTTTACTCAAGTACAAGACATGAGTACTTCTACTTTAACTCAAGTACAATATCTGAGTACTTCTACTTTTACTCAAGTACAAGACCTGAGTACTTCTACTTTAACTCAAGTACAAGATCTGAGTACTTCTACTTTTACTCAAGCACAAGACCTGAGTACTTCTACTTTAACTCAAGTACAATATCTGAGTACTTCTACTTTTACTCAAGTACAAGATCTGAGTACTTCTACTTTTACTCAAGCACAAGACCTGAGTACTTCTACTTTAACTCAAGTACAAGATCTGAGTACTTCTACTTTTACTCAAGTACAAGATCTGAGTCCTTCTACTTTTACTCAAGTACAAGATCTGAGTCCTACTACTTTTACTCAAGTATACAAGA